GTTATAATGAGAAATAGTTTTAAAGAATAATTTTGGAAAAATAAATATTTATTAATTAAGAATGTATAACTGATAGTCGTAGGGCGCGATATTTCATGTGCAAAACGACATCGGTTTCCAATTTTTTTTTATCGTATTATTGTATTAGAGGATACTTAAGTATGGATAACTTGCATGAGAAGTTTGGACATTCCGTAGTAAGATAATAATAATGTCCCCTTATGTATGCATTTGTGCTGTAGTAGACTGTTCATGCATTTTATGTTTCATTATAGTTCTTATTCAAGCTTCATAAACTTGTTTAATCTTGTTCAACATGCCGTGTTATTATTCACTATGTTTGATATGTTGAGAACCTTAGCAGTTCATGACTTAGTGGCCTTGTGCGTCATGAACAGACTTAGTGACATGTGTTAGTGTGTTGACTGAGTTTAGATGGTGAACCCGAGTTTAATAGGGATTATGATTGTTGACTTAGAAAATGAGAAGAGTTGGGATGAGAAAGTCTTGGTTCAAGTGATATTGTGATTGTTGATTATTTCTAGGCTCGCAACAGTGAAATTCCTGTGTAGCACTGGGGTGGGTCTGAGGGGTAGTGATATTGTGATTGTTGATTATTTCCAGTCTCATACCAGTGAAATTCCTGTGTAGCACTGGGGTAGGTCTGAGGGGGGCGGTGAAACGTTGCGCGTAGATGATTTGTGAACAATCGGTTATCCGAGAATATGAGCTTCGACTCTATGTGAGAGGTAGACCAGTGGCCTGTTATAGGATGGTTAACTACATGACCTTGTTATTTGAATGTTTATGGGTTCTTGTGAGATGTGGACTAGTTATATTTCTTTTCATACCTAGATCAGGATTAATATTTAATTATCTTCAAATTGAGACATATGGTATATAAATGAGGGTTTCCTTGTTTGGATTATTTCGTTCGACGTACTACGTCTCGAGTTATAGAGTTTTAAGTATTAATTCCATCTAGTGGTATGTCCTTGTTACTCGGATGATTATGGATTCTTCTGATCGTTATACTCTAGTGATGGATTGCATCTAGCTTGTTAGTATTCCAGCTGTATGTTTCTATTTATTATTATTGTTATTACATTGGTCATTCGACCGTTCCTATTCTCTCTGTGGGATCTTGCCGTGTGCCATGCACGTTGACGTACACCTATTTTCTCTGGTGTACGTCAGATTTAGGAGACGGACAACCTCAGTTCAGAATCGTACAGGAACCAGAGGATTCTCAGCAGGAGTGCCTTGAAGACGGAGTAGAAGGACAAGCTGAAGAGTAGTGGTTTTATTCCGTATTAGTAGTTGGACAATAGAACTCTTTTATAGTATTTTCTTTAGTTTGATGATGGGTTTAGTTATTTTATCAGTATTTTCTTTTTATTATGAACTATGTATTTTTATTCTTAGTTGGACCGTTTTTATAATAAGGGTATGTTTGACCCATATTTTTATGTCTGGGATGATTTACCATTGATGATATGTTTATTTCTTATTTTGGATTGTCTTTATATTCTTGTTATTGTGATCGGGGACCTGTGATTGAGATTTATGTATTTGACGCTTAGCGTATTGGATTAAGAAGAAAAAGAAGAAAAAAAAGAAGGTAGTGTATATTTTTTTCTCAATCTAATACGTCGCGGGCTTGTTCACGTCCCGATTTCCCGGTATTTTGGGAAGCGAAGCGTGACAAAGTCATTATGACTTATATTCCTACTAGTGATATGATTGCTGATCCCTTGACGAAGGGTATCACAACAGGTTCATTCATCAAACATATTGGTTTGATGAGACTAAGAAATGTCTGAGTCAAGAAAAGTTTCATGAATAATGAAAGGAGACGATCATAGATAATGGTTGTACACGGTTTATTCACGTAGAGTGAAAAGTGCATATATCTCACGGATAATGGGAGTATGAAAATACATCTTGAGTCACATCTCACGGATAGTGGGAGTGTGTGCTTGGAAAGTATTTGGCCATTTCGGCCAAGTGGGAAATGTAAGTGAGTTTGGCCTCATAGGCCAAATTGTTACCCGACCCATTAAAGATCTCAACCCGTTTTGTTGGGAATATCTCAAGTTCTGGGATTTCTTCCCGTTGGGGAACGAGTCTCACGTAACGTAACTTACATGAGGAATATCGGGAGGGAAATCAGGGGCAGTTTCTTGGGAACGTAGGGTGAGATGGATGCCCATAAATAGAGAGTTCTTCTCCACTGAGATTAATCATAAGCAATATGATCTCTTCTTCGGAGTCCCCAATAGAAATCTCCGATCTTCTCCCCCCTTCAGTTACATGGTTGATTTGAAAAGAGAGAAATCTAAAAATCTTCAACACGAAGAATTCTTCAACAATGAATGTCATTTACAATATTGTACAACCTATTGACTTTTGGTTTTATATTACAAACTTAAGGAATATGTAACTTCAAGGGGAATAGAAGATAATTTCTAATTATCAACACCTCACCCCTTCACCCCCCCCCCCCCCACCACACCACCAAAACACACACACACACACAAATCCCCACCATCTCGTCAAAAGGCTCCTAATTTTTTCGAAAATTATTCCCGGTCGTGGAAAAAGTATTCAAGGTTCCTTCCCTTCTGACCGCCGCATCAGCAATGGACACACTTTATAGGATATTTTTCTCTAAGCTTGGTCCAGGTTAAGATTTGGATTGGATCGAACTAGCTTGTAGCCCAAATAGGTCGGGTATGACTCCCAAGCCAACATGCATTGTCCCACTAACCAACCTCTCACTAATCAAACTCCTGAACCTTTTGTCAGTTTATTCATAAATTCGATAGAAAATAGTTTGATATATGTTGTCCTCAGAGAATTTTTTTTTTTTTTCAACCCCAACTTTAAGTCGAGAATACCCATGATTCCAGTGAACACATCAAGATTTCTCCACATCTATCTCTCACTTGGTTGGTAGCGTTAGGATAAGATTTGAGGCTGTCTGCTAATAAAGTAGAGGCTAGCAATGGCGGAAACATGAAGATTCCTGTGTCTGTGTGGTCTCTAAGCATCAAAGGGTTGTGTGACTCAATCTTTTGGATTGTTGCCATTATTCATCATTGGATTTTGGAGATTGGTTCACGTATCACCATCCTCTTCATTGACTCTAAGCATTTGGATCCTTGGTTTTAGATACGGATCTTTGAACTCTCATTCTATCATTAGTGTTTTAATATCTACTTTTGGGTAAATTGTCCTTAAATTTCTAATTGTTTATCCAATGTTGCATATAAATACTCTCAGTCATACATGGTTTACTTAAATGCCTTAAAGTTTCTAAAGTTGTACTTTAGTATATTTAGTTATGTAAATGTAATATCAAATAAAAGTTACATAAATGTGAGAATTTTAGGAAGAAACTCTCACGCTTGCACAATCAAGAATACTAAAAATGTAACTTTTAGAAACTTCAGAGTATTTAGTTAAGTACAAACATTTACAAGCGAAGGTATTCAGTACTTAACACTAAGTAAACAATTGGATATTTAAGTGGAATTTAGGCGTTCATTTTGAATCAAATTAATATTTATATATCCAATAAAACAGTTAATAGCCCGAGTGTATCTAAGTAACCCATTTTGGTTTTTTTTTTTTTTTTTGTGGTGGGGGGGGTGCTTTGATCATAAAAACAAAACGACCTCTCCCTCCGTATTCCAACCGCGTCTAATTATTCGTTATTTTATGCGAGGTAAAAAAAAGGTAAATTTCATAAAACCTCTTGAGTTTTGGGAGATATTAGAGAAGGTTACTCCCAACTTTGACAAACAGTATCTCAACTTTAGGAATTTGTTATTAATGGAGTTAAATGCTAAGGAGAAAAAAAATCTCAATTAATATTTTTTAAAGGGTTGATTGCAAAAAAGCAACCTTGTGAATTATTGGGGAGTTGCAATAAAACCCCGTCCACTTTTTTCTTATACTAAACCTCAATGAACTTTTGGGGGATACACATAACCTTATGAACTGTTTTATTTCACTAAACTTTATTTAAAAATTTGTCTTTTAATTCCCATATTCGCACCATGAATTCTGATGTGCCACTAGTACGCATAGGACAAAAAAGAAGATAAAAAATTCATTCTTAGTCCAAAAAGATTACCCTTTTATTAAAAAGAAAAATAGGTAATTTTTTTGGGATTGATAAATTATTTTCCTTTTTTAGCACGCGACTTGTCACATGAGAAGTTAGAATCAATGATGCTAATTGGAGACTAAATGAAAATTTTTTATTTGAAATTAAGTGAAACAAACCAAGCCATGAGGGTTAAACTACCCGAAAGTTCAGGGGTTTGGTATACGAAAAAAAGTTGATAAGAATTTACAAGAACTTCTTAAAAGTTTGTGGGAGTTTTTCTATAATTAACCCTTCTCTAAAAGAGTGGAGTGAAGAATAACGATATCGAACAATATTTTTGGTTGTGTGAAAGCAAACACTCTTTGAACATTAAGATAGGAAAATAAAAATGAGCTCACTGTTTGTAAAAAATTGCAGTACAAACAAAAGATGCAATCTTAGAAAAAACTGAAAATTGGAAAAAAAAAATTCACCTCATAAAAAGAAAAACTTTCAAAATCCACTTGGGGAAATCATCTATACCGCTATTTCCTTGTATGATAGAATGATGTAAGTTTCGCTCCATTTTTTTCGATCAAACAATAAATATACATTAAAAATATATTTCCTACTATAAAACTCTAGTTATCCGAACAGAAATTTAGAGTTGATTATACTGGGACAAATATTAGTGATCAGTACAAAACGTATCCATTTTCGGTCATACGATGAGCAACCTGACACGTTAAGCTTGACCGCAGTCATCGCTGTAAGGCAAGCTTCGTGGAAAATTTACGAAACTTGCAACACAACGCAAGGGGTGTTATGAAATTTACACTAGGAAACATCTCTCCAATATTCCAAATGGGCCCCCCATCCTCTCCCATCTCAATCTTACATCCATCCTGCAGGAACTCAAACCAAACTCCTCTCCTCTGTTTTGTTTCTCTCTCTCTGAAAAGTTTTGAAATCAAAGGAGCAGTGCCAAAAAAAAAAAGGAGAGAGAATGAGCAGCGGGGGTCGGACGAGGGTGGGTAAGTACGAGCTCGGTCGGACGTTGGGCGAGGGAAGCTTCGCGAAGGTGAAGTACGCTCGCAACACGCAGACCAACGACAGCGTCGCCATCAAAATCCTCGACAAAAACCAACTCCTCAAGCACAAAATGGTCGAACATGTACTGTCTCTATCTCCTTCATTTTTTAATGATTTCGATTGCATGCATTGCTTAGGCCTTAACCAATTTTGGGATTTTCTGATATTTCTTTATTTCCCCCCCTGATTTTTGAATAATTGGGTGTTAGTTGTTTCGAGGCCGCGGATCCAGGATTTATGGAAAGTGTGTCAATATATAATTATTAATAATTAAAAAGTTTGTGGGTTATTGGTATCATGCATTTAAGCACTTTTTTACTTTCCTTTTGACTGAATCCATTTCAACCATTAAATTAATGGTGTCTAGAAGGAAAAGGAAAAAGAAAAAAAAGGTTAAAAAAAAAAAACAACATTTGCTTACCTAATTATATGATCTATATAAATTATTGGCTTTAAACCTTTGGTTAGTTTCTAGTGCTATGTTTGCTTTCAATTCTTGTTGATTGAAGGGCTAGAACATAAGGTTACTCTGTTTCTATCTGCCAAAGTCAGATTGAGACACTTTATGATCTTCTAAGGAAATCAAGCTTATTTATGGATTTGTTTACCGTCATGAATCAATTAACCTTTGAGAAGCTAATTTTTCCAATCCCTGCATCATCAAGGAGATCCAGATTTCTCATCATTGTTAGATTGAGGAGATTAATAGAGTGTAGACAGGATGAGAATAGAGAGAGGGAAGCCAGCCTTTGGAATACCCCTTTGACTAGTTACGAATTCTTCAATATTCTCGTAATCGTTGATTTGGACAATTGCATTTAGTGACCGCATACGGTTACATAAACTTCGAATGTAATTGCTTCGAATCATAGGCATCCCCTAGTTCTTGTACATCTTCATGTTGCTAAGTTAGAAGGCATTCAGTCCCTTACAGGCATTATCTTACTTTATTCAATCATTGGCATGACAATGATGACATTATTACTTCTATATAAGAATGCATGCATAATTTAGCTATTTACTTTTCACAATTTTCTAACAATCTTCTCTAATGTTTTTCAAGTCATTCAGTGCTAGTAGGAGGATTCTGCCTCTGTGTCCCTATCAGCATCATTGTGTTATGATCATTATCATTGATAAACTTACAACTATCTTCTTACGGGAAAATCAATATTTTCACGTTTATCGGTTGAATGATAAATGATGGGACCAACTCGGGGCCTAATAGAGCAGAGTCTCAGCAGATAGTAGAGATAAAAAGAACACACAGCTTTATGTGGAAAACCCTCTAAATGAATTTGGGGTAAAAACAACGGGCAATGATAGAATAATTCACTATGAGGAAAAATTTTGGAGTTACAATCTCTCTTTACTAGGAGAAACTCTCTCTATTTTTTCTCTCTCACTCTTCTATATGTGGAGTTGTTTCTGGGATAGATTTTTTCTGAAGAGTTTTGGGCCTATTTATAGCGGCTGAGAAAACACTATTCCTAATTTTATAATATTTTTACTGTGCCAATCTTTCGGTGCTTTCCACTTTCGGTGCATAATTAGTGGTGGGGCCCATTCACTTTTCTCCTTCAACAATTTCGGCTAACAATAAACAAAGGACTCAATGTCCCCAAAATATTTGAGTAATATGCTTAATGTTATGAACCTAACAGCTATATTCTATGCTTTAGAAAGGACAGGAATGGAAAATAAATTCCAGACAAAAGTAAGAACTTTAGTGTGATACAATATATGTGTCACATATCCTCATCAGCTGCCTTTGGTTAGTGTTGCAATCATTACAGTCCTCTCCTATGGTTGACATATCTCTGCTTATCTGCACTTTCCCGTTGACATAAGTCTGCTTATCTGCACTATCCCTTATCTATTGGAAAACAGGATTTTCTAAAAACAAAGAAGATGAGGGATTCCATCTGTTGGAAAAGGATATCGTTACAATGCTAACATTGTATGGTTGATAGACCTTCACTGGATCGTTGTTATGTGACTTTACCTTCACTTGATCGTTGTTATGTGACTTTCTTTTGTGTATAAACAAATTCAGTAATCATATGCAAGTTCATAAAACATATTAGTTCAATTACTATTGACGTTGTAGATTTCTTTTATGAGGGTTGTAACATTTGAGTTTTTTTCCGCACTTTGTACCAGATAAAAAGAGAAATTTCCACCATGAAGCTGATCAAGCATCCCAACGTTGTTCAACTCCATGAGGTATTATACGCCACATTCTCTGTTCTTGATGAATAACTTATGGGTAAAGTGGCAGTGTGCACCTATTGATACTACTTCTACATTAGACGCTTCATTTAACCAAAATTACTACAAGTGTGTTAGTAATCCAATAGACATGTTCTGTACTTGTCAGGTGTACTTGAATGATCTGGTAAATTATAAAACTTCATATACTCCTCCTAGTTTAGTTTACTTGTTTTGGTTTGTTGCTTCATTTATGTAAATAAACATTAATTTCATTATTTTCTGTATCATCAATTTATGGCGTATAGGAACTCTATTTGTGGATTTTTTACTCTTTCTTCACTGTATGCATCAATTCTTTCTTTCCTTTTCAAACCTCCTAATCAACATTCTACTTGTACATTCCAGGTCATGGCAAGCAAAACAAAAATATACATTGTTCTTGAATTTGTTCAAGGAGGTGAGCTCTTTGACAAAATTGTAAGTATTAATTTCTGGATATTTTAACATATTTTTGCATGGTTCCAGACTAATATAGTGAAAGTTCAGATGCTTGTGTGCTGGATTGTTGAGTGATGATGCACCTGTTTTATAAAGGAAAAAAAATTGATCAACAACGACAAGCAATGATTTATTAATCTTCACATTTCTGAACTTTTTATGTATGCTTGTGACATCTGTTGGGCGCAGAGTCACGCCCACCGCCGCGGAAGCGAGATGAGCTAAGATTCCACTATGAGAAGAACACCGATGACTTGTACAATCCACAAGCTCGTCTCAAAGAAAAAAGATCTGATTTTTTTTTACCCAAAAGAATTGACCTCTCTCTTATAAAAATCTCTCTTTTTTTTTCTCTCCTCAAAAACTCTCTGCTTTTCTCTCAAAAACAGCCGAAAAAACCTCACGCGTTTATCCCCTTAACAGCCGGCTAAACCCTCTGCAATTTTCTTCCCGCAGACTTTTTCTCCAAGCCGCTGTTCCCACACTCATCAAAAATCCTAGAGAACATCAATCATTTATAGGAACTGCACATGTATTGAAATACATGGAAGCGGGTGGGCCTTGGGCCTGTAGATGTCCGCACCTGTGAGTCTCGTGGAAGTGACCCTACGTTCACAATTCTCCACCTCGTACATCATTTGATAAACCTTAAATTTTGGACGAATACCAGAAGAACACCGCGAGCATCATCAGAGAGATATCCATCGGCCAAACTAGGCCAGACCAGCTGTGTCACTTTACCGCGGCTGCCTACGTACCCTCCACCGGGATCAAGCTAACCGTAGTTCTGCAATTGTTCTCCATATAGTCTCCACCTCACCCCATCACCGCCCCGAAGGGCCATGCCCTCTTGGGTAGATCAACACGAGCTAATATGAAGCAAGTCCAAGCAATGCTTAAACTTGCTACCTGTGACCACCTTGGTTAACATGTCTGCAGGATTTTTATTCATATGCACCTTCATGAGAGAAATATCACCTTCCTCTATGACGTCCCGCACGAAATGATATCTGACATCGATATGCTTGGTACGAGCATGATGAACTTGATTCTTTGCCAAGTGAATCGCACTCTGACTGTCACACCATAAGTTCACGTTATCCTGCTCAATCCCCAAATCGTCTAGAAGACCCCACAACCACAATGCTTCCTTCACTCCCTCCGCCATGGCCATGTACTCGGTCTCTGTAGTAGAAAGTGCTACTGTAGCCTGCAACATCGATCGCCAACTAACTGGAGCTCCATGTATCTTGAATACATAACCAGTAGTAGATCGTCGTCTATCTAGATCGCCCGCATAATCTGAGTCAACAAACCCGTCAATCTAACATGTATCTCCACCAAAACACAGACCCGTATTCGCGGTACCTTTTAAGTACCTCAGGACCCATTTCACTGCTTCCCAGTGCGCCTTTCCCGGATTCGCCATGAATCTGCTGACCACACTAACCGCCTGTAAAATATCAGGACGTGTACACACCATTGCGTACATTAAGCTACCAACTGCACTAGCATAAGGGACACGATCCATGTGTGCCTTATCTTCCGCTGTAGTGGGAGATTGTTTACTAGCATAAGGGACACGATCCATGTGTGCCTTATCTTCCGCTGTAGTGGGAGATTGTTTACCTGAAAGTTTAAAGTGTGGAGCCAATGGGGTCACCACCGACTTTGCACTCTTCATCCCGAACCTCGCGATCACCCGCTCTATGTAGCCCTTCTGACTCAAGAACAATCGTCGATTCGCCTGCTCTCTTCTGATCTCCATACCCAGTATTTTCTTTGCAGCGCCCATGTCCTTCATCTCGAACTCTTTGCTGAGTTGAGATTTCAGCGTATCTATCTCTACCTTGTTTTTCGATGCAATAAGCATGTCATCCACATACAAAAGAAGATAAATATAATCACCTCCACGAAGCTTTCGAATGTAAACGCAACAATCATAATCGCTTCGGAAAAACCCATGCTTCAGCATGAAGGAGTCAAATCGCTTGTACCACTGCCGAGGAGATTGCTTTAGTCCATAAAGTGACTTCCTCAAGCGACATACATGATGCTCCTTATCCTCAACCTTGTAGCCCTCAGGTTGATGCATGTAGATCTCTTCATCCAAGTTTCCGTGCAAGAAGACCGTTTTAACATCGAGTTGTTCCAGCTCAAGATCACCATGAGCAAAAATACTCAATAGCACCCGAATAAAAGTGTGTTTCACCACCGGAGAAAAGATCTCATTGTAATCCACACCCTCTCTTTGTGCAAACCCTTTAGCCACTAGCCTCGCCTTGTACCTTGTACCACCGAGCTCTGAAGGATCTTCCTTTCTCTTATACACCCACTTACAACCAATAGCTTTTCTTCCTACGGGCAATGGGACCACCTCCCATGTTTGGTTCTTCCGAAGAGATTCCATCTCCTCCTCCATCGCAGCCAACCAACTCTCACTAACCTTATCCCGAATAGCTTCTTTGAAGGAGACCGGCTCATCTTCCTCTATCGAGAGTGCGTATTCCACCAAATTAACCTGCCCATAGTGCTTCAGGGGTTGATCAGTCCCTAGCTTATGTACCTGCTTGTATGCTCGCCTTGGCCTAGTGGAAGCCAAGCTATCCTCGAGCTATTGTTGTTGCTCCTCTTGCTCAAGCTCATCATCTACCTGATTTTCCACTTGAACATGACTAGAACCTGGTTGGTCTTTAGGTTATATCTCAATAACCTGGGACTTTGAAGTCCCAACAGTCCCAACGCCATCATCCTTGGGCGCCCTAGCAATCATGGATTTTTCATCAAAGGTAACGTCCCTGCTGATCACGAACTTCGAATCTTCTGTACACCAAAGGCGATAGCCTTTTACGTCCTTTGCATACCCCAAGAATATCGCCTTTTTGGCCCTCGCGTCAAGCTTTCCCTCGTTGACGTGATAATAGGCGGTACATCCGAAAATTTTGAGCCTCTCATAATCCGCATGTTCCCCTGACCACACCCTATAGGGTGTATCACCATCCAATGTCGAATGTGGAGAACGGTTCACAATGTAACATGTTGTAGCCACCGCTTCTGCCCATCATTCGTTGCCCAATCCAGCATAAGATCGCATACTCATTGCCTTCTCCCGCAATGTTCGGTTCAGTCTCTCAGCGACCCCGTTTTGCTGTGGTGTTAACCTGACTGTCTAGTGTCGAACAATGCCCTCTTGATCACAGAACTTCTAGAAAGCACCATCTGTATACTCTGTATCGTTGTCAGATCTTAGTGTCTTCAATTTCTTGCCCGTCCTGTTCTCAACCATTACTTTCCACTTCTTGAATGTCTCGAATACCTCATTCTTATGCTTAAGAAAATAAATCCAAGCATACCTCGAATGATCATCTATGAACGGGATAAAATACCTGGAACCACCCTTAGAAGTTGTCTGAGCCGGACCCCAAACATCCGTGTGCACATAATCTAGTATACCTCTGCTCTTGTGATTGCTTTTCAAGAATTGGACCCTGTGCGCCTTTCCATACACACAATCCTCGTAAAAATCCATGCAAGGTTTCTTCAGATTCTTCAGCAAACCCTCCTTACCAAGCAGAACTAGACCCTTCTTTGACATGTGCCCAAGCCGCCTATGCCATAACCGTGTGTGCTCACATGGGTCTCCACCACTTCATTCAGTTCCAACCGCTGCATCTCCTGTCACCGTCATACCTGAGAGAGTATATAGATTACCGTGACGTACACCCTTCATCACTGTTAGGGAACCTCGAACAACCTTCTTTACTCCGTTCTCTGTAACAATCTTGCAGCCACTAGAGTCCAATGCACCCACTGAGATAAGATTCTTCCGCAAGTCGGGAACGTGCCGCACGTCCGTTAGAGTTTGAACCACTCCATCATGCATCTTGATTTTGATATCACCTAGCCCCACCGTTTTACAAGCATGGTTGTTCCCCATCAATACGGTTCCACCATCAATGTTCCTGTAGGTAGTAAACCACTTCCTATTTGGACACATATGGTAAGAACAACCAGAATCAAGAATCCACTTCCCGGAGGTATCCTCGCTACCCGTAACAACATAGCATTCTTTATCGCTCCCTTCCTCCGATGCGTAACTCGCCTCTTCCTTGCCTTCTCTTCTCTCGGTCTTGTTGTTCTTTTTCCCACCTACTCTCTTGTTAGGACAGTCGACCTTGAAATGCCCAACTTCACCGCATTTGAAGCACGCTCGTCCCACAAGGGGTCTCGACTTAGATCTAGACTTTCCTCTCTTGCCTTTTCCTCGCTCATTGCTCCTTCCTCTAGCAAACAATCACTGCGCTTGTTCTTTGTTACCACCAGTAGTCATGTCACTGGTTGCAATCTTCCGAAGGTCATCCGCTAGAAGCGCCGTTCTAGTCTCATCCATCATCAAATTGTCTCCCACAAGCATCAGTGTTTGCACCAGGTAGAGATAGAAGTAGTAGAAGCGCTTGATCCTCATCTTCTACAGTCACATCGATGTCCTTCAGATCCGATATAATCCTATCGAACTTGTTGATATATTCCCGGATTGATGAGCCCTCCTCCATCTTGCAAGTATACAATTTGGATTTCAAATAGATCCGGTTTGTTAGACTCTTCGTCATGAAGGTGCTTTCTAACTTTGACCACACGCCCGCAGCCGTTTCCTCTCCATCTACCAAGAAAGCTACATCCCTTTCAAGGCAAAGGATAATCGACGCCCGTGCTTCCAGATCCAGCTCCTCCCAATCCTCATCAGACATATCCTTGTGCTTCTTCTCTTTTCCTGCCAAAGCTTTGTGCAATTTCTGCGAAATCAACGTGTTCTTCATCTGCATCCTCCAATAGGAAAAATCATTCTTCCCATTGAATTTTTCAATCTCGTATTTTCCCACTTTAACTGTTTTACTTGTTGACGCTATTCTCCGCTTGTATTAATGAATCCGCTTCTCTCAGAAAATTACTGAGCACCACCTCAAATCAGAAGCTATACCACTCCCAATCTGAATAACAGCTCTGATACCAATTGTTGGGCGCTCACGCCCATCGCCGCGGAAGCGATATCACCTGAGAGAGCCCTGACTTTTGTTGTCACAAAAGCACAAGTTAACCTTTATATTCTTGTTTCTCAAAGGAAACGAGAATAGATAGTAAAATTCTTATTTCTCAAAGGAAACAAGAATCGAAAGTGATATATTTCATCAAAGTGAAATATACACTCTTCTCTCATCAGCTCTAAGACCGAATATTGAGGGAACCTACAAGCAATAGCCAACAACCAGAAAACAATAAATACACGAGATTTACGTGGTTCGGCAAAATTGCCTACGTCCACGAGAGGGGTGAGGGGAGATTCCACTATGAGAAGAACACCGACGACTTGTACAATCCACAAGCTCGTCTCAAAGAAAAAAGATCTGATTTTTTTTTTACCCAAAAGAATTGACCTCTCTTGTAAAAATCTCTCTTTTTTTTCTCTCCTCAAAAACTCTCTGCTTTTCTCTCAAAAACAGCCGAAAAAACCTCACGCGTTTATCCCCTTAACAGCCGGCTAAACCCTCTGCAATTTTCTTCCCGCAGACTTTTTCTCCAAGCCGCTGTTCCCACACTCATCGAAAACCCTAGAGAACATCAATTATTTATAGGAACTGCACATGTATTGAAATACATGGAAGCGGGTGGGCCTTGGGCCTATAGATGTCCGCACCTGTGGGTCTCGTGGAAGTGACCGTACGTTCACAACATCAAAATAATGTTTTGCTGCCTTGTTTGCTAGGTATGGGTCTCATTTATATAGATAGTATTAGGTTTAGATACATTTGGGATAGCTGCACTGAAGGAGGCAAGTTTTTTTTGCTTTAAGTCAGGTCGACTATTTCTCTGTTAACTTTAATCTAATTAGGTGAAGGTGAAGTGTGGTCTTATTGAGTTATATCTTGTCATGTTAGGTGAAAGTCTGAATTTTCAGTTCAATGAAATAGGGTGCATGTTTATGAACTGTTTCAAGACTTAACCTTCTTTGACATGCTAATGTGAATGTTTTTTTTTCTGTTTTTTTCTAATATTGCAACTTTAGCTAAACATTGGTAGTGATGTGTAATGTGTACATACATGGTATAATCCTTGTTATTGTTTTGAATAGTGCATCTGCAAAAAATATTTTTCTTTGAGTTATTATGTTCATTATTTTCGCCTTTTTGTTAACCTTCTAAAGTCTTTGACTTGTAGGTCAACAATGGGAAGCTGAAAGAAGATGAAGCTAGGAGGTACTTCCAGCAGCTTATCAATGCTGTGGATTATTGTCACAGTAGGGGTGTGTATCATAGAGATCTGAAGGTTTGACCGAGTTTTATGGTTTTTTTTTCCCTCTATTGATGGTAGAATAGCTTTTCCCTTAGATAAGTACCATGGAGTATCGCCTTTTTTTTTGAAACTCTTTATATGCATAATTTGCAGCCTGAGAATTTACTCGAAAAATCATTCTTCCCATTGAATTTTTCAATCTCGTATTTTCCCACTTTAACTGTTTTACTTGTTGACGCTATTCTCCGCTTGTATTAATGAATCCGCTTCTCTCAGAAAATTACTGAGCACCACCTCAAATCAGAAGCTATACCACTCCCAATCTGAATAACAGCTCTGATACCAATTGTTGGGCGCTCACGCCCATCGCCGCGGAAGCGATATCACCTGAGAGAGCCCTGACTTTTGTTGTCACAAAAGCACAAGTTAACCTTTATATTCTTGTTTCTCAAAGGAAACGAGAATAGATAGTAAAATTCTTATTTCTCAAAGGAAACAAGAATCGAAAGTGATATATTTCATCAAAGTGAAATATACACTCTTCTCTCATCAGCTCTAAGACCGAATATTGAGGGAACCTACAAGCAATAGCCAACAACCAGAAAACAATAAATACACGAGATTTACGTGGTTCGGCAAAATTGCCTACGTCCACGAGAGGGGTGAGGGGAGATTCCACTATGAGAAGAACACCGACGACTTGTACAATCCACAAGCTCGTCTCAAAGAAAAAAGATCTGATTTTTTTTTTACCCAAAAGAATTGACCTCTCTTGTAAAAATCTCTCTTTTTTTTCTCTCCTCAAAAACTCTCTGCTTTTCTCTCAAAAACAGCCGAAAAAACCTCACGCGTTTATCCCCTTAACAGCCGGCTAAACCCTCTGCAATTTTCTTCCCGCAGACTTTTTCTCCAAGCCGCTGTTCCCACACTCATCGAAAACCCTAGAGAACATCAATTATTTATAGGAACTGCACATGTATTGAAATACATGGAAGCGGGTGGGCCTTGGGCCTATAGATGTCCGCACCTGTGGGTCTCGTGGAAGTGACCGTACGTTCACAACATCAAAATAATGTTTTGCTGCCTTGTTTGCTAGGTATGGGTCTCATTTATATAGATAGTATTAGGTTTAGATACATTTGGGATAGCTGCACTGAAGGAGGCAAGTTTTTTTTGCTTTAAGTCAGGTCGACTATTTCTCTGTTAACTTTAATCTAATTAGGTGAAGGTGAAGTGTGGTCTTATTGAGTTATATCTTGTCATGTTAGGTGAAAGTCTGAATTTTCAGTTCAATGAAATAGGGTGCATGTTTATGAACTGTTTCAAGACTTAACCTTCTTTGACATGCTAATGTGAATGTTTTTTTTTCTGTTTTTTTCTAATATTGCAACTTTAGCTAAACATTGGTAGTGATGTGTAATGTGTACATACATGGTATAATCCTTGTTATTGTTTTGAATAGTGCATCTGCAAAAAATATTTTTCTTTGAGTTATTATGTTCATTATTTTCGCCTTTTTGTTAACCTTCTAAAGTCTTTGACTTGTAGGTCAACAATGGGAAGCTGAAAGAAGATGAAGCTAGGAGGTACTTCCAGCAGCTTATCAATGCTGTGGATTATTGTCACAGTAGGGGTGTGTATCATAGAGATCTGAAGGTTTGACCGAGTTTTATGGTTTTTTTTTCCCTCTATTGATGGTAGAATAGCTTTTCCCTTAGATAAGTACCATGGAGTATCGCCTTTTTTTTTGAAACTCTTTATATGCATAATTTGCAGCCTGAGAATTTACTCCTAGATTCATTCGGTGTTCTTAAAGTTTCAGATTTTGGTTTAAGTACATTTTCACCTCAAATTCGGGTATGTGTTGTCCTTGTACAACTGTCCTTACTTCTATTAGTTTTACTTCCCCTTGCTTGGTGGTATGTTGTATTAAACTACTTTGACTAATTACTATATTTTAATCAATATTGTTCGTATTTAGGAGGACGGGCTCTTACATACTACTTGTGGAACACCTAATTATGTGGCCCCGGAGGTATAATCATTTCTCTCCCTGTAGTTAACAGAAACATCTTGGCCAATCTATTCTATTTCTTGTTTAAACTTATCTCATGGCAGACATTTATTTTTCACTAGGTGCTTGATGATAAAGGCTACAATGGTGCAGCTTCTGACATATGGTCTTGTGGTGTGATTCTTTTTGTTCTTATGGCTGGATATTTGCCTTTTGATGAGCCAAGTCTCATGGGGCTCTATAAGAAGGCAAGTTTTCGACATTTATTCCTACAATTTTAAGTAATCAATCTTTGAAAAATGCTGAGAGCCTTGTATATCTGACTGCAGATATGGAGGGCAGATTTTTCGTTTCCTTCTTGGTTTTCCTCTGGTGCAAAAAAGTTGCTTAAACGCATTTTAGATCCCAATTCTCACACAGTGAGTACTGCAAAAGCTTAAAGGCTTTTATTTCCTTTGAATTTTATGATACATGTTGACAAAGTTTTCTTATTGTATCCTGTTTGTTGGGGCTTAAATAAGAACAGTGTATTTACTATTTTGATCACAGCGCATTACAATCCCGGATATTTTAAAAGACGATTGGTTTAAGAATGGGTATAAGATACCAGATTTTGAACAAGGGGAAGAAGTAAACCTTGATGATGTTGATGCCGTTTTCAGTGATTCTCAGGTGAATGACTCAAAACCATTTACGGAGAAGTTTTGGTGTGCTAGCAAATATTGAGCTCATTAATCTGCCTTATAAGATCTGGTGTAGCTTGTAGAACTTAATCAAGCAGTTTTGAATTATTATTGTTATTATTATTAGAGCTACTACTACTGCTATTTTTATTATTTTGCATAAAGTTAGCAAACAATCCTTTCTTTTTAAAACTAAAGTTCTATCCTTTTATATTTGTTTATGATATAATGTTTATCAGTATTTATTTATGTTCATCTCTAGGAACATCTCGTAACAGAAAGGAAAGAGAAACCAGAGTCAATGAACGCATTTGCACTTATTTCACAGTCAGCAGGCTTCAACCTTGGGAATTTGTTTGAACAACAGACGGTATGTATTGCTAATTACTGTAACCAATTAATTGAAACTTCCCTCTTTGACACTTTTCTGCTTACAATTTATAGGGTTTGGTCAAGCGGGAAACCCGATTTACCTCTCAACGCCCTGCCAATGAAATAATGTCTAAATTAGAGGAAAATGCTAAACCTCTAGGTTTCAATGTTCGAAAACACAACTACAAGGTAGACAATGATAATTGAGCCAACTGCAATTATCATTTCTTAAGTTGATCAGTTCATTATATTTTTAATTTGTACTCTACTTAACGGTACTAACTGATATACCATTCTGAGATGCAAGTGCATTGACAATTTTGCATCATTTCAGATGAAGTTAAAAGGTGACCAGACTGGAAGAAAGGGCCACTTATCTGTAGCAACCGAGGTATAAAATTAGCACATTCGTGCATAAAAAATATTGCTGCAACAGAACTTTTTTAAAAGAATTGGTAATATAGTTCAGGGTTTTAGCATGTAAACATCATGTTTCTGAAAGATTGCTTACTTCATCTTGAGTTACGTGCTTTTTTCTACTTGATCTCATCTTTTTAACTACACCCTTTTCTCTACTTAAACTTAATGAAAAATACCTGGCAGATGCTTTGAAGTATGAACATAAAGCATGTTTCACTCATCCTTTTGCGAGATTCAAAATAAAAGTACTCTCAATCAGTGTTTTCAAAGGTGCACGCCTCCTGCGCCTTGAGATGTGGGGCGGTGATGAAGCGCCCTTCATCTGATGCAGCAGCGCCTCTTGCGCCTCACATACATCCTGACTTTGTGTAGAGTGCATGTAGTACATACCCTCATATAGTTTTGTATGTTAACACATTTCAATCGAGCCTTTATACTCGATAATCCATCTCCCTAAAAGCAAAATAAATCCATTAGGTCTTTTTAGTGGACTTCAATTGAGGACCATAACTATCCTTTGCTTGGATATTAGTCTTGATTTGACATTTGATTTGAAAATTTATGAATTTTGCTACTATGTTGAGTGTTAGCATTAGAAATTAAGTCCTTATATTGTGATTTTGTAGTAAGATATTATTTATCCTGACATATTTTTAATGTGAATTCCTAAACATGTTCTTTCGTGCTTGATTATATATCTTGAAAAATTATGTGTGCGGTATGCGCCTCGCATCGCTCGGACGCGCACATCGCGTTGTGTCTTGCGCATGTGCGCGTAAAGATGCTTTGCGTCCCCCATTGCACCTCGCGCATTGACAACACTGCTCCCAATCTGTCATTTCTACAAGCAAATAACTGTTAGAATTGTTTAAGAAGATGGTGTACATTGTAAAATTAATAGTAATTTATTTAATTAAATACATGAAAGTGTCATTGCTAATACCATTCATTAAGCATGAACCAATGTTGCGAAAATAGCAAAAATAATTGATAAATGGAGCTCTAAATAATAGATATTTATTTAACTATTATGTAATTAGTGACAGTTTACCCTTGTAGAGTATATCTATAAAATTACTGAAAGGATAAGGCAATGCATAAACATATGCAAAAAAGCAAGATGAAATATGCGATTTTTGAAACGGGTAAATTTCACAAACGCCCCTAAGTTTGGCCCATTTTTAGGTAGCCCCAAAGAAGTTTGGAAATGTCACTTGACCACCCCCCCCCCCAAAAAAAAGAAAAAATAAAAAATAAAAATAAAAATAAAAATAAAATAAATCGTCCACCACCAATTGTTTTTTTTACAATTTTCTGAATCTATTTTCAGATACCCCAACTTTTTGGTGGTTATCTGAAAACTTCTTGGGGGCAAATGACATTTCCAAACTTGTCGGGGGTTATCACAAAATGGACAAAACTTCTTGCGGTTTTGTGTAATTTAGGCATTCAAGAAAGATAACATACTGGTACGTATACTATAATCTTAATATAGTTTCCTTCATTATTTTGAGAAAAGGATGAAATCAGAGAAATCCGGTCAAAGCCATTTCATTTTGTGTCTGAAATTAGAAGATGGCAAGATGGATAAGTTATAATACAGATTCTGACTCATCAATTAGTCAAAATGAACTAAAAAAGCAGAGGATATATGATCCATTTTCTTTAAAAAAGTTAACTAAAAGTAATTGCACACAATGAATAATACATGAAGGAGAAATTTGCTTCCAACCGTCATCACTATTAGCTGTATCTTCTTTTAAATCAATTTACAAGTTACAACAACAATTCCAATTTCCATCAAATTTTCTTTCTTGTCAGGTTTTTGAGGTGGCTCCTTCTCTCCACATGGTTGAACTTCGTAAAACTGGAGGAGACACGTTAGAATTTCACCAGGCATGTCAACATTAAACCGGAATTTAATAATTTTCATGACATTTTCTTTCAATAGAACACATGTTTCAAGCTTTTATTCAATTTGTTTTAAACAATATGCAGTTCTACAAAAGCTTTTCTTCCAGTCTTAAGGATATCGTTTGGAAATCAGAAGATAGCCCAGAGTAAGTGGTAAATCACCAACTTGAGTTTTGATCAAAATTCAAGTGACCATAATTGTGATTCCTTCTGATCACTTTTGCAGGTAGTTTTCTGATTCATGTAGAAGCAATGGCTGGATTGCTCGTGTCTTTTTTTTGAAATTGAAGGTAACTTTTAAATAGAGAGGGCTTCAATGTTGTAGAGAAATATCCCTCTTTCTTCGATTTTACCAACTTGTTCAGTTTTCCTTCTATGTCGGATAAATTTAATAAACGAGAACTCTTGACCTTTGTGCATTGGTAAACACTCCTTGTAATTCTACCATGAAGAAAGCTAGTTCGTTGTTTCCGTAGTATTTTCGTAGTTAGTCAGTATGTACCTTGGTGTTTATGCTTTAGCATTCAAAGGTCGGAGTTAAATTCAATTATCAAATAATTATTTGTAATTTGGTACTTTTACGGCTAAAAGTTACCAGTAAATACTGATTAAATATGTTCATTTTCCAGGTTTATTTTTCATGATACACAACTAAGGGTTTATTTGATTCGCAAATAGGACTCCTTGAAACCTCTTTCCCCGATCTGACGTGGTCAGATTTAGGGAGAAATTTTTTTTATGCGGTTTTTATTTCTACAGTTTGGTTCGCTATAGTGGCTGGGGAAAAATTGCGCAGAAAACCCATGCCATATCAGATTATTTTTTCCAAACCCATTTCCTTATAAGACAGAGTGATATTAGGGGCACACCCCAAACCACACCTCCAACCACACCTCCCCTCTCATTCGCTACAGTACTCCGGGCCCCACATGAGTTTTTAAATTTTAAAAACTCATGTGGGGCCTGGAGTACTGTAGCAAATAAGAGGGGGAGGTGTGGTTGGAGGTGTGACTTGGGGTGTGCCCCTAACATTTCTATATAAGACGTTATGAAATAGGCTGGACACTGACTATTTGGGCATAAAATATTGGCCCAGTCAAATACGAAATTCTAGTGGGGAAAAAGGCTAGTGTTCCCCTCGCCGCTTCATTTCCCTCCTATTCTTCATGGTTATCTTAACCCTAAACCATACTTGAAGATGAAGTTTCCAAGCTCTTTCACCCGGTTGGAGGGGTATGTGAAAATTGAAGGTCTTGGCTAATTGGTGAAGGTAACATTTGTAAAGATCAAGTCTTTTCTTCTTTGTTCGTTTTTAAATATGATTATTTGTTAATCTGTAACACCCCGTCTTATCGAGACCAAAAAATAGTATCCATTATCATTCTTTCATGATGGGAGATGAGATAGATCCTTTTATCTACTAGTTTAGAAGTAATTCTGAGATTACGTTAGCTAAATAGAGGTTTTTACAAGGGTTCATGTGTTAAAAGGCTAAATCGGGTTTGAAATAAAAAACGATCAAACCGTTAGCCGACCCATTAAGCTAAAATCGTTATAAAAGCTATCAAAAATTTTAGATATAAGACACTGAAGGTGGCTAGCCAAGCTAGGAGGAGGAAGTGGAGAGCTTTTGCACACCGTTCGTTGGTTTTAAGTTTTATTTTCGGCACAAAACGCCTTTCGGCAAGTATCTGTGACGCCTATGTTTTCACACATGGCTGCAGTCCAATGTGAATCTAGAGATGTCAAACCTGCCATGCACCAAACACTGTGCATAAACATGTTTCACCATCACATTAATATCACTCTAGCAAATATCAAATGAAAACAAGTGAAGGTACAAGCAGATATAACAAATATGAAAGTACAAGGAACACAATAAAAGAAGAGATATCCAATAATAATTATAATTATGTCTCAACTGAAAAACCTTAATGCCACTAGGAAGTGCTCAGATACCAATTGAAAGACCCTAGAGAGGGGGGGGGATGTGAATAGGGTTTATGCTAATTCAATCCGATTTAATACCAATTAAAAACTTATTAACAAGTTATCCTAGCAAATAAGATATGCAATGAATTATTAGTAAGGATAAGCAAAATAAACAATGGTGAAATAAATAAAAACAAATAAGAGTGATAGTGAGCAAATAAACCAACACAAACACTAGCAAATGATCACGGAGTTCGGACCTTCCGTCCTACGTCTCCGCTCCCCACTCCCGGGGAGAAATCCACTATCACACCCAGGTTTTTTACTCACCCGAATAACGTTTACACCTCACACTTGGTTTTCTAGTTCACCAAAAACTTTACAATCTCACACTCTTGCAATCTCACTTTACATCCTCTAAGTGTTGGTCTCTAATCCGTGTCTCCCTCAAGTGTTAGGAATTACAACCTACCTCTCCTCTTGGGATGACCCTGTCTCTCACCACACACTCCTCTAGGTGTACAAGTGTATTACAAAGTGATCTTACTGATTAAACACAAATACAATAAATATGTTCTCTACAATGGATAAGAACTCTATATAGGCTCACACTCAATTGTTACAACTCTCACAACCCCAATAATACTATGTATGGAAATACTTAATCTCAAGTAGGTGTGTGTAAACAATGAGTGAATTCAATGCTAAACTCAAATATGAAATCTAGCTTAAGAACAATGATAATCAAACAAGTATATAAATATAAAGTTAGAGTTAGAGTTTAGAAAACTTCTCCAATGAATAACAAGAGAGAGTGAGATGAGTTGAAGCTTAAACACCAAATGATGATCTCTTCTAGCTCTTGTGAAAATTTAATCACAAACAAAATCTTTAAACACTTTTAAACAAACTAAACAAACACTTAAAACTTTCTTAAAACTTGTTTAAAACATTCTCTCAAGTGAATAGAATTAATGATATGTGGGGGTATTTATAGGAACCCCAAAGCCAAGAGAAAAAAAAGGCTAAAAGACCAAAAAATCCAAAATAGTACAAGGCTGAAAAACTAGCCGTTACAGTATCAGTCGACTGACGGGTTTCATCAGTCGACTGATGAGCTGACCGTTGTTGGCATTTTATAGCTTATTATCAGTTGACTGACGACCTTATTAGTTGACTGATAACACAATCAGTCGACTGGTCAGTCGACTGATGATATCTTCAGCCGACTGGTCAGTCGACCAAAATAGAAACAGAAACTTTTTGATATTCCAGGCGATTTTTTCAGTCGACTGAGCACTTTCAGTCGACTGATAACACCATCGATATTATATCTAATAATATACCTACTCAAAAAGATGTGGATAGTCATGACGCATATCTTCTTCATGCTCCCAGGAAGCTTCCTGAGCTCCTTTCCTATTCCACTAGACTTTGACTAATGAAATTACCTTATTTTGAAGTTTCTTGTCCTCCCTGGCAAGGATACGGACTGGAGTCTCAACTGTAGTCAAATTCGCTTGATGCTCTAAATATGGCACATCAAACACTCTTCGCTGCTCCTCGTCTCGTAAGTGCTTCTTGAGCATCGAGATATGAAATACATTATACACACCCGACATCGATGCTGAGAGATCTAGTCAGTAAGAGACTGTTCTAACATGATTGACAATCCTGAATGAACCAATATATCTCGGGGCAAGCTTTCCTCGTATGCCAAACCGTTTGACACCTTTCATAGGTGATACTTTCAACAAGACATAGTCTTCAACCTGGAACTCTAAGGGTCGTCGCCTCTGATCTGCGTAACTCTTTTGCTGACTCATGACTACAAGAATACGCTCTCGAATTAACGTTATGTGCTTTGAAGTCTATCTAAGAATATCTGGCCCAAGCAATAACCTATTCTCCGGCTCTGCCTAACAAATTAGAGATCTACAGGGTCTCTCATACAATGCTTCATAAGGAGCCATACCTATAGTTGATTGATAACTATTGTTATAAGCAAACTCAATCAATGGTATGCGATCTTCCTAACTACCTTGGAAATCGATTACACATATCCGAAGCATGTCTTCCAACACCTTGTTGACTCTCTCTATCTGTCCATCTGTGTGCGGGTGGAAAACGCTGCTATATGCTAACTGGTTGACAAAAGATTTCTGGAAACTCTTCCAGCAATGAGATATGAATACTAAGCCATGATCTGATACAACCGTCTTTGGGACTCTATGCAATCTCACAATCTCCCGAATAAAAATCCTCGAGTATGTTTCTACCGTATGAGTTGTCTTAACTGGTAAGAAGTGTACCGACTTTGTCAGTCGATCGACAATCACCCAAATGAAATCATTTTCTTTGCTAGACCTCATCAATCCCATAATGAAATCCATCAAAATATTTGTCCACTTCCACTCAGGAATGAGTAAGGACTATAGGGTGCCCGCTGGTCTCTGATGTTCTTCCTTCACCTGATGACAGGTAAATCATTTAGAGACATATTCTACAATATCCCTATGCATGTCGTTCCACCAAAAATGCCTCTTTAAATCCTTATACATCTTGGTTGTGTCTAGATGTACATTGTACCTGGTATGGTGTGTCTCATCGAATAGATCTTTCTTCAACTGCGAAATATCCTGCACTACTAGCCGGCCTTTCATCCGAGGGCCTCTATCTGATCCGATGGTTCAATCTACCTTAGGATCTTTGGAGATCTCCCCCTTTCGGGTTTGAATCCAAGAATCTTCCAACTGAGCGCTGATCACTCTATCTATCCATAATGGCTGAATGGCTAACGCTCTTAAAAATGCACTGTATCCACCAACCTCTAGTCTGAAGTTAATCTGAGGGTAAGAAGACCTTGGTACAATGAGCATCTCAAAGCTGCATGTTTGTGATGACACTTCCTGCTCAAAGTATCTGCTATAATATTGTTCGCCTTTTCTGGATGGTACTGAAGCGCAAACTCGTAGTCCTTAATGAACTCAACCCATCGCCTCTGCCTCTAGTTTAGTTCCTTCTGAGAAAAGAGATATGTCTGGCTCTGATGATCTGTAAATAATTTAAATTGAACCCTATAAAGATAATCCCTCCACACTTTAAGTGTGAAGACCACCATTGCTAACTCTAAATCGTGAGTGGGATAATTCTGCTCATGAGGCCTCAACTGCCTTGAGATATGTGAGTCTGCATCAAGATGCCTCCTAGTCCCAACAACAATGCATCTGAAAATGATTTTAAAACGTGGTTAATCTAAAGAAAGAAGTTTGATTCATCGTTTTGAGCTTTTATGCCTGTTTTAGGATTTTGAATATAAATCTAATGCAAAAAATCATGGTTATACATGTTGAGTTAGTTTCCAGATGTTTCTATCTGCTGTGGCATGTTTGCATACAAGTTTCATAAAGTTTTAAACATGTTTATATCAAGAAAACACAATGTGAACACGATACACACACAAATCTGTGAAAAACTAGAATTTGGGTTCACAGTCGACTGCCACGGTCGACCGCGTGCAGGACAGACACTTAGGTAGTCTCT